GATTTTCCATATTTAATGCCCAGCAAATGACAATTATATTGTGCGCATTTATGTAGTGCACATATCTACCAATGTGGGAACGCACTTTTTGTGACTTTTGCACAATCAGCTGTTTCTTGCATGGTTTTATACTTTATTGCTTTCCGCCATGTCCGGCGAGAGCGTATGATGACGATGGCCGTGCACACGTTGCGATTTATTCCTTCCATTCTATCGTCGCTTGGCCGTTGATCCACTCTGATGTACGTTTTTCCCGCCGCGGCTTTTTTTAAGCACCAAGCGTACGGTCGGTGCGAACAAGACGAGATCGTAAACAAGACAACTTAAAACCTTCCTCGGGTTTGTCTCCTCTTGGCGATGCAGTAGATTTATTACCTTCATAACAATTTCTAATGGAAATTGTGAAATTTTTTCATTTAGCACTGCAGTTCCGCGGTTATAGGTAGGTAAACGCCATCGCAAAGAAGTCACATGTCGGCAAAAGCGGGAATGCTCATGAATATCGTCGATTAAATATAAAACGCACACCGTCGTTCCATGGACGCGACGATTTACGCAACATGTAGAGAGTGAAACCGGAGTCCTTCGCGTCGTTGGGCGGTGGTCGAATCTGCGCAGAATATTTAAGCCATCGGAGGCCGAAGCGAATGAATCCCCAGGAGTGTCTTTTTCGGCGAGCGCGAATCGAACGATAATGGTGCGTCGCACCGACTGGTTTGCGTTACATATGGGCCTAGTCGTACGCCGTGGTATGCACGAAGAATATAAAGGACATCGGCGCGAAGCTCTTCGGTGCCTTATCGGCGAGAAAACGCGTTGAAATAAAGGAAAATATAAATTCGCACAAGCACAGGTAAACGGCACCGCGATTATATTTAGGTGCCTACTACTTACCACTCTACATATGGCGCATGTCTTAAGCATGCATGTTACACAAAAAGATGGTAATAAAATTTTTATCTGATTAAATCCAAATATGAGTGAAATAAAACGAAAGTGTAATTTTTCATGAGAAACTTATCAAATGAGTGAGTAATGGCGTTCAATTAGTAATTCCATCTCTATGGAAATAGCCTCCAACACGAGATGAAACCGCCAGTGGTAATTCTTAATTATTGTTTATGTAGGTACCCATTAAATTTGTTTAACCCAACATTAGAAGCCTTAATTCTTTTGTGTGGTTATACGCATAGGCATCACGAATCGCCCCGAATCTACATATCAAATTGCGCATTCAAAACTAAACTGAAATTATTTCGTACACACTAATAGGTAGGTAGGCAGGTAGGTATGTACCAGATTTTACATATTTGATAGATAGCTTTGCTACCACAGATAAAACAGTCTTTTTGTACAATGGTGTGTTAACGCTTGAATTGTTTGATGATGAATACGATGCGATAAGAAGCACCCTTTTTTATGCCGCCACGGTGTAATTAAATTACTACATGTTGCGTTTCTAATGACATTTAATTGTAGCGTTCATACATGTTTATCTACGATTTAATGCGCCCATTGAAAGGCTTATTAAAAGGTACCTACAGATTACCGTAAGTTGTTAAGATGTAGGTGCAATTCGTGTGTTCAAACTCGTAATCAGTAATAACGTGTCAGGTGCCCAGCACCCTAAAACAATTTCCCACTTGACGGAGTTAATATTGCATAAGAATTCTGGTTTAACCAATATGTGATATCAACATTAACGATTCGTTGCCGTAATCGAACAACTTGTCAACTTATTGGCTGGTTATTGACTGAAAACTCCAAATTCAGCAACTCGAGTATACGCGCGCAATGCTAATTTACTCCGTTTGATTACGTTTAACCCAATAATTAAATTTATTACCTTCCATGCCAAAAGAAAACATGTTATTGTTGGTTTGACCAAGTTTTTGCCCAGATTAGCGCATAAACGACAACAAATCGTTTAAAACAACTTCTAGTTTTAAACAGCAAGAAATATTTGTCAACATCATTTTTTTTAAAGGTAATTCGCAGATGCCAGTCCTCGACAAGAAGTGTGAAACAATTGTCTTAAATCATGAAATATTTGAAGGAACTTTTCCAAATTTAATACCTGTATGCGACCCTTCGTTTAGTTATCTGCAAGTGTTACCTTCTTTTACCACGGGCATTGTCTAATACATGTTTTCTTCACGCAGCTGCAGGTACCTACTACCTTTCTCCAAACCTTCCATATCCGAAGTTTCCAGCTGATGTCCATCCAATTCATACGTCTACTTCCGAAACATTTCCGACTACATTTATTGTTCAAGCAACGTTTTGTCAAGACTTCCACAACAACTAGATAGTCAGAGTCTCAACAACATCATCTTTGTTGCCCTATAGGTAGGTTAGGTTAGGTTAGGCAACCACTAATCATACATCAGCACATAGCTAAATAATTGAAATGTTAGTCAAGTTAACGTGTCGGACGCAAATGTTCAAATTGAATCCGTCAAGTAGACTATCACGATCCTAAAATGACTCGATGTGTTAGGAATCCGTCCGTCACGAGGACAACCAAGTCAGTCGCAATTAATTAATCTATTAATAGACAATAAGAAATACAAGAATCAAAAGAACAAGTTGGTTTAAATATTTTGGCATGTAAATATGCGATGTTTAATGTTTCATCAAGAATGCCTGGCGCTTCCAGCTATCTTTATCCTATTGTTACAATATTATCGTAGCCAACCGGCCGGACAACATGCATGGCAGTACATTTCAATGTTCCTGTCCGCGAAATACGGCAAGTGCAAAGGTATTAGTACCTACCATTTTTTAACGTCAGGTCGTTGCAATGCGCACTTACATAGCCGAGTTCGTCATCCGCAAACAAATTAATCTACTTAAATTGTGCGTTACACTTAACTCGTACTTGCGCACTCCGTAATGTACATTGCATTTTATTCAGCAGTTTTATTTCTGCCTTCCGTTGGCGCGCATTTATCGTCAAATTAACCTTCTTGGCCAGAGCACACAATTTGCAAGAACGCTTAAAAAACAAATTAAATTGGAAAAATCTTAACGATTTCCATAGCATATGCAGAGGATTAAGATTACACGTTTTTCATGAACCAAAGCACAAGATAAATATCGTCTAAAACATGAATTGTAGAACACGCAACCAGATTCGGTTCGAAATAAACTATGAAAGACATTTTGATCAAGAAAATGACACTACTGGTGTTGTTCTGCGGTGCGTTGCGTCACATTTCCCCTAGGATGATAAATTAACACTGTGCGTCTTATTTGTCTGTAAGATTTCGAGTACGAGGACAGCGGAGCCGCACTGAAACTGGAGCTACTGCACGTACCAGTAAAATGTCAGATGATAGGTAGTGACACTCGCCGCGGACCCTGTAATTAACGATCTTAAAGTCGCATTTTTCAAAACCCGAACGCACTCCGAGCAGCACACATAATATTTCACGTAATAAATTTCGGGGAGTGTCAAAGCTTTGCGAGTGCTTTTATTTATGTTTACACTGCAAGGATCGTCACATCCACTGGTGTGTACATGTGTTGAAATGATTGCGTGTGTTGGTTGCCTCGAATACGATGGCACTTCATGTCTCTTCAACCGGCTAAAAGTGCTTGATAAATATAGAATAGGCATATATGTTAACTGCGACAAACGTTGCAAACATTACTAATTTTTCAATTACTTTAGCATAAATTTAAACTTATTATATAGGTAGGTAATAAAACAATACATATTACCAATTGAAAGTCTTAAATAATCAAGAAATTATTTAAAATGTTGCAAAATTATAGTCCCAGTATACTTTAGCTTATGTGTATTGCATGTATAAAAATTCCTTAAGCTTTGTCTTATCGTAATTATCAAATAATTATGTAAAAGTGCAATCTAAAATAGCCGACTTTCTACATATGCTCTCTGAAAGCATGCGACAAGCCACGACCGACGACGATGTGTATTACGCTATCTGTTTATACATTTATTCAACTGTCCACAGGTCAATCTGGATCTGTCTGTCTGCCAGCGATATTCATTTGCTCGGCGCGCCAGGGTCAAACGTCAATGTGATTTTTCTACCGGCGGTAGCGTGCACGTATTTGCCAAAAAATGGCGTGCTTCACATATTGCTTATGTTATCAATTTGGGTTCGATGAGACCAAATGTCTCGTAAGAAAGTTATGTTACAAACGCCTTTTAGAACTCAAATCAAAATTTGTTGTGGAGTGATATCGTTGAAAATAGGTAGGTAGGTATATGCCACTTTGTGCCCAAAGGGATAACTCACCAAATAGACATGACCATCAATATGTTAGTGGATGTACGAAGCGCAATTCACAAATACAGCGCGAAATCATTAGTGAGCGATGATGATATCATATCCAATTTAATGTACTTTACCAGTAAACACCGGTAAGTAAGTGCAGGTTACTTACGCGGTGAGGGTACTTAGCCTCAATGAACTCCACTTTACATAAATGCGTATTAAACAAGATGGCTTTGCAATAACACTTTGGGCGGCATTTTCACACATCATAGCAAATGCAAACGCGGAAATTCAATGCGCGGTTGCTGTGTCGAAAGCGGGTTTTATTTATTGCCCATGGCCAAATCCGTCGGTTCGTGTTTTTCATTTTCGCGCGTTTCAGTGAATGTAAACGCGGGCGCCTGCCGAGCACACATATTGTTGGTGGAACAACATCGCGGTTTTGCTGCAGGTTCACAGACGCGAACACAACATTTTCCTATTTGATTTATTGTACAAATAACGCATCGACGTGCTTATGTGTTTGGATCGGCATAGGCTCCAACGGATATGTGCAAAAACGAGCACAATATTGATTTATCATTTTTAATCGGTGAATAGCCGACATCAAACAATGGTTTCAATAACATGCATTTCAATACGTTTCCAGTGTTTGTAGAATTGATTGAAATCAATGATAGATACTTGCTATTAACATTCAACATCCTACATAGGTACCTACATAGATAGAAATTATAATGATGTTCATACCCAATGCATCCCGGGCGTGCGAGAAGCGGCTTCCTCGAACACTCCCATCTGCAGGAACGATGCAGCCTGGCCCGAATTCTGTCTTACAAGCTCCAGGGATGGTCCTTCGTCCCGCACCTTCGAACCAAAACCTACCCACCCGATGATGGTTGTGCTGTGTCCTCACTGCTCACACACGCACTACCTTTCCGCACAATTTGATCATATAGTTTACCTAGCAGGTTTTAACAAACCTAACAATTTATCTGCCACATTGAGCGCAAATTTATTCATCAAATCAATTATGTTCACAATTCGTTTTCACTTTGGGCCAAGAAGAGAATCCTTATTGAATGGCCAGTTGAATGATTTTCGCTTTGCCGCACATGCTGGACCCATACACATTACCGCACCTTATCACCGAAGGTATTGCAGCGAGCGTGAGATAAAGTGCAATTTTACGAGTGTCCTGTAGAATTCGGGCTCGCGCGCATGGCCGCGGTGTGAAGGAAACGGGAGCAAAACAGTTTCGCGCACGGCGGCGGGTGCGTGAGACGGGTGGGTGTACGCGGTGGCGAAAACGCGATGCTCTCTCACGCCAGCAGCAGCAACGGTCCGCGCACAACAACAGTCACTATACGGATGTGCGGCGACGCGAGCGCGCATGTTGGAAGCGCACACACTCTCTCTCTGGCTGGTGCCAACTCCTCCTCTTGGCGTGTTGATAGAAGGGGACCTCCGGTTTTGGGGGAGGGTACTTCGACACTGTACAGAGAGGAACGGGTTAGGTGCACGTGCCTCGCACCCGATATTTGACCTTACAGTCATATGTGCTTAAGGTGGATTATGCCGTGAGTCAACTTCACTGCCACCAGAGTTGGGCGACTCTTCTTTAGCGGTGTTGAACTGTTGATACGCGAACACGGGTAGCCTTTATTCAAATTCACAGAATACAAAATATACCACGGACGATTAATCTTCAAATGCGCGTGATCTTGGCTGCATAGCCAATAAAATTTATTAAATTATTCAGAACTCATAGGGAACATCTAGATAGAAAATAAGATAGGTGCTTCTACCAAATACAAAATTTTGTATTAAATGTTGTTTTTTTTAATTTTTGGATTTAACATTCAATAAATTAAAAAATACAATGAGTACCTTCCTATTTTTGCTTATGTAATTTTCTAGGTTATTTTAAAAGCGATTTAAGAACAATCTCACACCTTGCAAATAAATTTATTTTTTCCCTGTCCTTTACTAAATACCCAGGGATTATCTACTTAGGTTTGTTCTACAGAAACCGGATATGCGAACATTTTAAATTAGGTACTTCGTAAAAAATATTAATAGAAATAGGTAGTGTAAAATTTGACTGTAGTTTCCAAACAGCTTCACAAGAGAATTGAAGGTGCTACGTCAACCCTTAAAATCAGCCAACTTTGTTTGTAGGTCGACATCCTTATCTGGCCTGTTGATCGGTATCAGATGAAGTGATATTTATGGTGCCTCTCTGCTCAAAAGCAGATTGAAGACAGTGAAGTCCTCGACTAGACACATCCAAAGAAGATGTAAGTCCTTATACGAGGAAAGCAACAGGGCATGACTCTAATGGTGACAGGTGCCAATACGTTTAAAGTTTGTCGTTTTCGAATTTTTGTGCATGGCCTGTTTGCGTCTATTCTGTTAAAAATCGAGCTCGTGCTAGTGTTGTTTTTTTTACTCATAGGTACCTACCGAGCAGGTCGGCCGTATCAAACGGCTTGTGTGTAGCTTTGTCGTTTTTAGGCCTGTAGTACTTTTGAGTGGTCTTACCTGGAAGGACATATGACGCTCGTGCGGCGTGTGCGCTCCGCACATTGACATTGTTAACAGATTTTCAGCACTTTTGCCATTTAGACGACGCAACGACCAAGGTGTTTGCAAAAGCTAACATAATATTTAGTTTGGTGTACCTACATATGGTCTTTAAATATCGATACCCAAAAGGGACGAAAAGAACACATATTTACGTTGTTATTTTTATAGGGGTGTAACTGCTTCCACATCAAAAGTCTGTTACATTTATAAGGTAAACTTTTTGGATGATTCATTAAAAATATTATTTAGTTATCAGTTTTGAATATTTTGTAATCAGAGGCATGTGCTACGAGTACATGTGCAGAATAGATTTAGCCATTACTTACCGTTTACTTACGTCCGCAATAATGCACTCGCTCGTTGACCATCCTTCGTATTGTCCGCGCGGTCTGCTGGCAAATAGAGTCGTCGCAATGCTGCATACTGTTTGCGCTTCCACTTTGTAGACTCAATAGCAATCTTTAGTGCTATAGCGCGGTAGCTATTAAATCCTTGTTATGTGGTTAAATATTTGACGAAAGCCGCGCACCCCGGTGCGATGTTTGTGTCGCAGCATGCGGATGCCAGCAGCCAGCGTGGCACGCACTCGGCCAGCAGTGGCAGACTTTTGTCATCTCCTTTAATCCGTTCGTTTCGCCAGCACGCTCGCGTCGTTATTGTCCGAAGCGACACTTTGAAAACGACTGAACGGAAAGAATGAAAATCTGATCGCACCTTGTTAGAAGCTGGTCAGTTGGTTTGAACAGTGTCTATCTTGCTAGTTGTTTGTTGTCCGCTTCGCAAGGCAAATGCCATTGTCAATGGTCAGTTGGACTATGAAAATGTGTTTAATGCGTTTAGAAGCATACCTAATTGTTGTGGTAGATAATCGGCATTTAAGGAACATTTGCCTAGATTTTTATTTGAAATGGGTTGATCTGAATTTTACGGAACACTCTGGTACTTTATATAGGTAGGTACTTAGATCCTAATTAATTCATATCATATAAAAGAAAAGTTTGTCCCTGCGTGTGCCATTGACAAGTATTTAACACTGGTCACTTATTACAACGTAATTGACATGAAAGGTGCAAAAGATTACAGCGGTCAAGCAGACTGGGTTGTTGACAAATAGTAAAATCACCAACTTGAACAAAGATTACACACAATGTGAATCTATCGACAAATAATGCCTATCTACTCTTAGGTACAAATGTTTTACATACCTAATTATAAAATTATAGGTAATGTCAATTTCAGTACCAAAACAAAAAAAAAAACGAATTTAAATGATTATCAGTTAGAATAAAGCAACTACCTCTGCTAAACCACATTGCTCTATTTTAATTAATTCAGCTACTATTAAATTAACGACTTTTTAATTTTTATCATTTCGACTTTTTTTTGTTAATGAAATAAAGATACATATTAAGCATCAGTACCTAACACCTACGATAAGGTTATTACACAACAATCTAGTTCAAGATTCATGTAGGTACATATTATTTGGAGGTTGTTTTTATTGTTCCGGGCACCGCGTTTAATGAGTAGGGTGCTTCTTGGTAGTTCAAAGATAAAACGAAATAAAACTCAAATAAAGCTTTACCAAGTAATTAAAATACAATAAAAGCTTTACAATCTTTGTTTGACATGGTGTGACATTGCGTTTATTATCTACATCATCGTTTTGTATTTGACCATTCGGCTCTTTACCATCACCAATGCCTTCGGTTAAGGGCCAAAGTGGTGAATATTCAATTGACTATAAAACGTGCCGACGGGCACATGCATCAAGTCGAACGAACGTACACAACGCATGTCGTGCAAGTTTGCCCACCGCATTTCACGCCTTTCTAGTTCACATAATCTTATTTCTATAATTTTATTTCTATTCATTTGATCCAATTCAAATCAAATAAAAGTAAATTGTGCACACATTATACCTATGTTTGTGTTTTGCTTGTACAAATCAAGTCATAAGATTAAAATATCTAGGACTCCAAATCTACTCCGGTCTGAGGAGATCCAAGTAAAAACCGTTGGAAGTCCGAGTAAAACAAAGTGAACTTTTACTCGCCGTTTGAAAACAATGCCAGTAAATCACTCTGTGCATCGCGCACCGGCACCGGATTACAGGCGCGCGTAAATCACTGCCAGAGGAGAGGTTTGCTGACACGAGTGAAAGAATATTCCTGTGTTTTGCGCATGTGTGTCGTGTGCATGCGCGATGCTGATTTGTGTTGTCTCTCAGGTGTTGCGAGAGCAAACGTTTTAAGTTTTTAAGTTTTGGTCGACTCAAATCGTGAAATCCGATTTATAAAATGTATATTAAATTATTGTTAAAGCGAATCCAGTAAGGAAACTGGAAATACTTGAAACCTCATAGAACAAGGTTTGCATAGAAAAAGAATGACACGGTTATCTGAAGCTCTTGTCAAATGTTTTGCTTGCCAAACAAAATGATGCTGTCCCGATGGGCGAGAAACCCTACATGAGTATCCTCACAGGTTAGGAACTGTAGTCGATTTAATTATAAATTAAAGCAAATTATATTAGATTTAGATTTATGACGATTTTCAGTCACGAGTTTTATAATTAAAATAGCCGCGTAAAAAATGCATGTTAATTAAAGCTCACGACCGACCAGCACACATTTTATTCCGATCGACACTAAATTTCCATCGCTAACTCGGTAGTAATTCTTTCAACAGTGTCACACCACATTGGCGGCATAGTAGGTACCTACCTACAGGCGCATGATCGCGCTCACGTATAGATGATCCACAATTTTTCACTATAATTAGTCGAAAGCTGAAATACGCAAAAATCCACTTGAGAGCGCTTTGACGCATAATAATCTGGTGTAATATCATTGGCATGCGCTGCGCGCTTTGCTCGAATGTTGATATATCTTTGCATATACATCAACGGCTCACCGGCTACCGTCTTTACATATCCCAAGCCTGCAGAAATGACCCACCGATCACTGCCGAAGTCAACGCATTACTCTTTGGTTAGGCATTCAAACCATCGGTAATGTAACGCCGACTTGATCAAATATCAGCTACCGAAGTCAAGTGGACGTACCATGAGGACATTTAAACAATCCGCATAGTCTGGGTATACATGGATAAAGTTTATATATTTTCTGACTGAAAGGAGCACTTAAACGCATTGGAGTCACAAGTAGAACCAGAGACGACCAATATCTTAAAGTTGTAGTTGCTGATCTTGGACGGCATACTCCGAAGTTGATCGCTTTGTAAAACGTCAAAACCACATTTCTTCGGGTTCCTCTACTTTGCAAGACCCAATATATTTAATTGCTCAGAATTTAACCACAAAGTGCATTTCAAATATTCTCTATGTAAATAACGACTTCAATTAATGTTTTACTTGGCGTTTAAGTCTTAAATAAAAATAAAACCTAACATGCACAAAACGCTATGGAAAAGTAGGTTATTATAAAGTGTTTTCTATTTCCTTTGGTAGGTATATTCTTTTAGGTAATGTGTTGACGTATAACAGGTTGTTGCGTTTGTTTTGTTTTGGTACACGTAGTGGTATGGTAATGCACAGGCTGAAATAGATCATATTCCCATTAACACATGCAAATGAACGGCAAACGAAACGATCGTGAGCACAAGCATAATCTATCAACCTTTGCAAGAAGCGCAGTACAAGTTCACTCACTAGACTAGTCACCACAGAATAAAATTGTACTCGTAGTCGTTCGTACCTAAGTAGGTACGAAACGTACACGGCGCTTAGTTTTTAGTTTTAGTTTTTAT